GCTCCGCTGGAGGCCCCAGTGGCGGCCCTCACATGCGCTTCCGCCACCCATGTCGGCACGCCCCGCGCGTGTTTCATGTCCCCATAGGGAGCTTCGCCGAATGCCCCAGTGGCACCCATCTCGGCACACCCCTCACACGCTCCGTGGTCCTATGGGGAGTTCCCTCGAAGATGAAACCCGCAGCTGCGGAACTGACAACTGCATATGGTTGGGTTCTTCGCCAGGCTAATTTTCCAAAGACTCGCAGTGCCATCTTCGGGCTCTCTTGGGGTCTTTTTGGGGCATTCTTGGCGCCCTCTTGGGGCTCTTTTGGGAGGTCTTGGAGCCTTCCCGGGGCAATCTCAGAGACCGGCGGCAAGAACTTAGGGCTCTTTGGGGGGGGGAGGCCTGCTGGAGCAATCTCAGAGACCAAGGCTGAAACGCAGGGCGGCGTCAATTCACATCGCCCGGTCGGAGGCCCAAGAGGAGTGGGCCAGGCAATGGACCACGCGCGGCGTCCCCCACATGAGTTTAAGATGGAGGTTAGTGCATGATACGCCGTGGGGTTCCCTGTGGCAAAACGTCTGCGGCGTCTTACCACGGCGGCTCGATTGTCCTCTTGGAATCCACTGGATGCCTTGTTGGCACCTTCTTCGGGCTCTTTTGGGAGGTCTTGGAGCCCTCTTCGGGCACTTTGTGGGGGGCATGGGAGGCCGCTGGGCGCCGTCTTAGGCCGCGTAGATAAAAAAGAGGGGGGCGTTAAATTTGGGTCGCTCCCCCCTCGGAGGCGCAGAAATGCAGTCTTGGGCCGCTGATGGGCCGCTCTTGCAGCGCTTTCGGGCGCCCTTGGAGATTGCTCGAGAATCTCTCGGGCGTCTCTCGGGGCTCTCTCGGGCCATCTCGGGGCAATCTGGAGGCCCAGAGAGCCCGTCGGAAGCGAGAAGGCGCCAAGGCACACAAACATTGGTTCCCCAGGTTTTGAAGCCATTATGGCCTCTTGGGGAAGTCCTCGGAGGGCTCGGGGGGCACATGAAACCGCCCTGGAGACGTCTTGGGGCCTCTTGGATGCACGTCGGTGGCTATCTTGAACCAACTTGAAGTTTGTTGGGCCATCCTGGAAGCAATCTCGTGCTCCCTGAGGCCCTCTCTGAGCCATCTTGGGCCGAAAAACGACCCTCTGACACCTCGTGGCCCTCCCCGCCCAGAGGCGCGCGTGGAAAGGGGGGGGGCGGGGGAGAGCGAGCAGGGAAAGGTTGGAAAAAGGGGAAGCGCTAGACCACCTCCGCCCAGGGGGCCGGCGGGATCCCCCCTCGCGAAACCGCGCGTCTTCCGGCGACGTCGCAACGAGTTCCCCCGTTTTTCGCCGCACTTTGCACTCCTCGCGCTCTAGCCCGTTCTGTTCCGCCGTTGCCTCTGCCCGCCCCGCGCGGAGCGCGTTTCCGCGCGGCGGCGCCCCCTTCGCCCGCGACCCCAGGACATCCGTCAGTCTGCCATGCAAAAAATGCGCGCGCGTTCAGAATCTCCTCGGCGAAACTCGCCTTCAACTCCGGGGAATCAATCGGCCCGGTCCTCCGCGCGATCGAAATCCGCCAATTCCGCGATTCCCTGCGCTGCTTCTTCGCCCCCTGCCACCCGCAAGATATGCTGCCCGCGGTCCTCCGCGGCGCCCGGCGCGCACTTCCTCGCGCTTTTCAAATGCGACGTGAGCAGCGCATTAATGGCCGCCCCCGTCGGCGGCCCCGCCCGATGGAAATCCCAGCAAAACAGCGCAATCAAGACCCCGAAAGGTCCATCCACACCGTCTCCACCTACCTTCGCGCCGCTGGCAGCTGAAATGAAAGAACGCAAGCGCGAGTCGAGCTCAGCCAGAAAGTTCGCGCTGACCGTGCTAACCTCGTCCACTGCCAACCACTTCCGCAATGACATTCTCTGCGCGGCCATCTCCTTTTTCCGTTTTCATTTTGGGCTCTACGCCCCCATCGCCCCCCGCGCGCGGCTCCTTCGCTCTGTCCTCACCGGCCCCAAATGCACTGGCCGCGCAGCACCCGCGCGAGGGGCTGCATATCCGAACGACTCCTGCCCGTCCTCTTGCCCTTCGCGAGGCCGGGGAGCTCCTGCGCCAACGCCCGATCTGCCACCCCTTCAATCGACGCCGCGCTGACCTGCGTTCTTCAAGCCACCATGAGCAAGCCCGTCTCTCCACTCCCGCACGCTGGGCGCCGTTTCCTTTTCTCCGCCGCCACCTCTGGGGCACCGTCCGCTTCGCCCGCGCCGCTTACTTCTGCGGCTCTCGACGCCGCGGCCGCCGCCAGCGCTATCTGCGCTGCCGCGTCATTCCCCTTCAACGCGCCGCCCCCTCCGCGCTCCTTGCGCTTTCCGCTCTTCCGACTCATGTCCTCGCCCCTTACGGCGTCGCCCCTTGCCGTGCCCCCCGACTTTTCTCTCTTTCGCATTCCGCAACTGCGTTCGTCCGCCTGCCCATTTTGTCCATGGACGCGCCCCCCGCGTGCGACTTCCGCCTTGTCGCCGCATCGACAATTATCGGGCCCTCGTGGTTCGCGAGGTCTTCGTCCGTGACTTGTCGCAAGTCCACAACGCCCATGTAATTCCGCACGTGCCCCTTCGCAGCCTCACACGGCATGCGGCAAGCCTGTCTTTAACCTTTCCAGCGACGCCTCCGCCCACAATTCATGCGCTCCGCGGGAATCCCGCAGGCGCGGCACTCCATAGTCGACGTCGTCACGCAGCGTGAACGCCCGAATATATACCATCAACAGGAGCACGTTCCTGTCCTCCTCCGCCGCCCCGTGCTTCGGCCGCGGCGCTCCGTGGAAACTCGGGCCCCTCGGGCGACCGTTCCGCACCGGCACCCACGCGCGCCTGAGAGTTTCCATATCAGGAACGCCCAGGAACAGAACCCACGAAACAACTCCGACCTTCTTTTACAACATAGTCCACTCCCGCGTTCAACTGGGGCCCCATCTGCGCCCCGCCCTCGCCAGTTTCCTCTTTCTCCTGGTCTGCCTTGCGGACCATTTGAACCCCAGCCAGCGTAAGCTCCGCCTGGTAGTCATTGCTGGTCGCAGCCGACATCTCCGCTCCGTTGCGATGATATGCTGCAAGCTCTACGCGCCAGTAGCGCAATAACTTGTACAGCGACAGTGGCGCCAAGTCGGGCGCTCCTGGATCGCCCACAGGGCGCATGCCATACAAGTACACAGGACTCTTAGACACAATTGGAACTTTGTCGGCCCCTCCCATTTGTTCGCCTCCAAAATCCTCGACGCTGCTACGGCCACATCGTCCCAGTCTGCGCAGAACCGCTCCGCCGTGCGCGCTGCTTCTGTCCCCGGGATCATGGGTGTCTTCGCAGTCTTGAACCACTCGGCACCCACCACGACCCTGCATGCATCGCCAACGCACATGGGGAGCGAGGGGCTGCGGGGGGGCAGAAGGGCCGCGCACGCCAGAGAGCCCTCAAGCTTCAAGACAATCCAAAAACGGCCCCCAAAAGATTCCATATGGGTTACCAAACCTCAGCTCGGGGATGGACAGGGCCCCCATTAGGAAAACGTGGTTTCGTGACAACGGCCTCGGGCCCAAACCTGGCGGGCGCAGGCCTGGAAAATGACGGCCGCACCGCCCTCTCGAGAACCGAAAACGGACAATTCACTAATCGACGTGTCAGGGTAGGGGCGATGCGCCCCTGCCGCAAGAACTCCTTCTCGAAGCAGCCCCTCACTCCTATCCGCATCTACAGGGGCTACAAGAATTACGCCTCTCGAGCACGACCCCGAAACCACGATTAGTCCAACACACCCTACTCATGAAACCAAATACCGCCGCCGTGAAGGCGTTCACCACAGCCTGCGATAAAGGCTATACAAAAACAAGGGGTCGGTGGTGGATGTGGCGTAAGCCTACCGATACACGAATACCATCATGCTCATCAACAGCAGCAGCAGCATCATTATAATCATAATCAGCATCATCATCAGCAGCATCATCGGAATCCTTATCGTCATCGTCATCATCATGACCATCATCGTCATCCTCATCATCACCACCATCACCACCATCATCACCACCATACTCATCACCATCATGATCATGATGATGATCATCATCATCATCATCAGAAGCAGCATCAGCAGCAGCAGCATCATCATCATCATCCTGCTTAGCATCAGCATCAGCATCAGCATTACCATCACCATCGCCATCATCACCATCATCATCATCAGCAGCATCATCAGCATCATCAGCATCATCATCATCATCACCACTGCCATCACCATCGTCGTCATCGTCATCGTCATCATCAGCATCGACATTAGCATCAGCAGCACCATCATCAGCAAAATCATCATCATCGTCAGTATCAGTATCAGCATCGTCATCCTCATCACCACCATCATCATCAGCATCATCACAATCAGCATCATTATCATGATCATTAGGATCATCATCACCAGCTGGAGCAGGAGCAGCAGCAGCAGCAGCAAGAGCATCAGCATCACCATCCTAATCATCAGCATCAGCAGCAATATCATCATCAGGATCATCATCATCATCATCAGCAGCAGCAGCAGCATCAGCATCAGGATCATCATCATTATCATTGTCATTATCAGCAACATCAGCATCACGACTACCATCATCATCAGCATCATCATATGCATCATCATCAGCAGCAGCATCACCACCATCATAAGCATCATCATAATGATCAGCATCATCATAAACACCACCATCATCATCACCATACGCATCAATATCAATATCATCATCAACATCTTCATCATCAGCATCATCATCAGCATTAGCATCGTCGTCATCGTCATCGTCATCGTCGTCGTCGCCATCGTCGTCGTCATCGTCGTCGTCGCCATCGTCGTCGTCATCGTCGTCGTCGTTATCGTCATCGTCATCATTGCCATCGTCCTGATCCTGGTTCTCCATCTCCCCCTCCTCCGTCAATCTCCCCCAATTTCGTGCCACCCCCCTGCTCCCAGCACCGCCTTCACGGGCAGGCTGCCGCCGAGCGCGCCCGCGCTGGCGGGGGCGGGAGGAGGGCGCACGAGCTCGACCCTCATCGGCAGGGTGGCCTGGAGGAAGCGAAAATGCGCAGAAAGAGGCGGGCAAGGAGGAGGAGGAGGAAGATAATCGGAGGAAAAGGGAGAGAGGGGAGGGAGGAGGAAAGAATGGGAGTGGCCGGCTCAGGGAGGGGGGCAGCATAGAATCGGCAATACATCGCCGAAAGATCGGCGAGGCGATAATCCCCCGGCAGCGAATCCGGACGTTCCTGGGCGGGGTGGGCTATCTGGCCCCTATCGGCGAACGATGGGCGATTTGGGGTCGATGCTTCCCCCGCTGGGCCTATCCCTCCCGAACGTGAACCCTGATGGGGGGAGGGACGAGGGACGATGATACCGCCGGTGGCCTCGTCAGAGCGGCTCCAGGCGGTCGGAGACCACATGGCGCGAGCGGTCGGGGTAGTCGCTGCTACGTTGGGGAATCTGCTTGGATGCTGCGTGGGCGCGGGGGGTCCTCGCCTGAGCCAAGATTGCTGGACGGGGAACGAGCTGACAGGGGAGAGCACGAGAGGGGGGAAAACGAGCAAGGCGGGAGGGGAGAGGGGGAAGGGAGGCCATCCCTTCCCCTTGCCTCCCCTCTCCTCCCCCCCTCCTCTCCCCTTCCCTCCCCTCCCCATCCTTCGCCCCCCCTCCTCCGAGGGAAGGAGGGGGGCAAAGGGTAAAAGGGGAAATAGGGAAACGAGGATCGGTGGAAAATAGGAGGGAAGAGGAAGAGGAAGGGGGACGCGGCCGAGAGAAACAAGAGGGCAATCGGACGATCTGGCTGGCTTTCGCAGTGCCGCGGGGGGCACTGCGGTGGCACCGCGGCGACGTGAATGCGACACGAAGGGAGCAAGCAAGGTGATGAAGCAAACGTGCAGAGGCAGCGGCGTGTGCGCATGGTTATGTGGGTATGGCTGTCCGTCAGCGCTGTGCAGCAGTTGGTGCATGTCGAACCCTTTGCGTTCTTCGCTGGTTTCGATGCTTGCGGGGCACATTTCAGGGACAGGCCCAGCACGTGCTCAGTTGTTGCACCAAGTTCCTGCGTTTTCTGCCTTTTCCGAAAGAAGTTAAGCCAAAAAGAAATTCTCCCCCAGCCCCCGCTGAACCCCCCCCCCGCAACCCCCGCCCCCTGCACCCAACCACCCCCCAGCACAACAAGGTGGCAGATTCGCGTGGCAGAGGCAATTCGGTAAAAAAGCAATCGATGTCATTCGGACTGGACGGCATGGCCTGCCCGGCACAACGACTCGCTGTTGCGTGTGCTCACGTGCAACAGCATTCACGTACTGACCGCAACAAGTTTACCAGCTGTGCTGCACTGTCGGGTTTACCTAAGACATACTGCCTGGCACGTCAGAACAAATGAGCCTTCCTACGTGCTCTTGGGGCATCCTTCACGCCGTCATGTCTGGGCATGCGCATGATACCCTGGCTTCCAGTGCCATATAGCACAAGCCGCGACCTCTCCTTTACACTACTAGCGGCACGTTACTGCATTACTCCCCGCTTCTTTGGTTTGATTGCTGTGGCCCTGTCAGTGTTTTCAGCCTGCTGCGTGACGCATCGATCTGGTCTGGCCAAGGTAAGGGCGTCGTCCGCAAACTCGGATCGCTCATCACCTTCAGTGCGTCGCCGGAGTCAATGATCACGGCGCGTTGTCCCCATCGATTCTATCCTGAGGGGCATACGTGTCGTCAATGTTGTCGTTCCTTTTGTTGGTGGTGTCATTGTTGCCGATGGTGCCGCGTTTGCTCCGTTGTGCGGTTGCTCCGTTGCTCCGTGCTGCGTTTGCTCCGCTGCGTTGCTCCGACGTCATTGAACGTGGCGCCTCAACTGTAATGCGGAGCATGAGCCGCATTTTCTGCGAGCTCTGAAGTTCAAAATCAAGCGTTGCCGCCCACGCTTCTCAGGCGTAAGAATGGCGAATGTCATTGTTACACGACGTAATCCAACACGGTTTCCAATGGAATCCTGGCCCCCGAAATGTCCATCTCCATCGTGGAACTACCGACGAAGTAGGATTTGCGCCCCTGGTATTCGGTCGCGCGGCATTGTGGAAGCACATGTCACTCCATCTTATGGGCATGGGCGTGGGCTGGTCGATGTCGCGCTGCTCTGACATTCCAAAAAAGAGTGCTTGTTGTCAGGGGCCTTCAGTTGTTTTACGAAGCAATTGGGTTGGTCTCAGAAACTTCGGGGACGCTCAGGCAGGGCGTCCAGGATGTACAGGGGGCCCAGGAAACCATCCGTGGGTTACGAATGTCTTCCCTGGCCCCATGCACATTCTGTACCTATGTAGCGCTGCCCAGAAATAAGTATCCCGGCAAAGCAACCTAACAGCGATGTGTATAAGCATATCTGGAAGCATTCCCCTTAAGATTCAGGTGAGAATCCAGTTGTAGAATTCTGCTGTTCTCGCAGTCGCAGTCGCATTCGTAATGACAGTCGCAGTGGCAACGGCCTTAGGATCCAATGGAATCCGAAGGATTCCTAGGGATTCCTAAGGCATCCTTAGGCATCCTTAGGAATCCATAGGAATCCTTAGGAAACCTTAGGAATCCTTAGGACTCATGATTCCTAGGGATTCCTAGGGATTCCTAAGGATTCCGAGGGAATCCTAAGGATTCCGAAGGATTCGCCTGCCTCAGCCTCAGCCTCAGCCTGCCTCAGCCTCAACCTGCCTCAGCCTCAGCCTCAGCCTGTCGCAGCCTCAGCCTGTCTCAGCATCAGCCTCAGCCTGCCTCAGCCTGCCTCAGCCTGCCTCGGCCTCAGCCTCAGCCTGCCTCGGCCTCAGCCTCAGCCTCAGCCTGCCTCAGCCTCAGCCTCAGCCTGTCTCAGCCTCAGCCTGCCTCGGCCTCAGCCTCAGCCTGCCTCAGCCGCAGCTTGCCTCAGCCTCAGCCAGCCTCAGCCTCAGCCTGCCTCAGCCTAGCCTCAGCCTCAGCCTCAGCCTCCTGCCTCAGCCTCAGCCTCAGCCTCAGCCTGCCTCAGCCTCAGCCTGCCTCAGCCTCAGCCTCAGCCTCAGCCTCAGCCTGCCTCAGCCAGCCTGCCTCAGCCTCAGCCTCAGCCTGCACCTGCCTCAGCCTCAGCCTGCCTTCAGCCTCAGCCTCAGTCTGCCTCGGCCTCGGCCTCAGCCTCAGCCTGCCTCAGCCTCAGCCTGCATCAGCCTCAGCCTCCTCAAGCCTCAGCCTGCCTCAGCCTGCCTTGCCTCAGCCTCAGCCACAGCCTCAGCCTCAGCCTCAGCCTGCAGCCAGCCTCAGCCTCAGCCTCAGCCTCAGCCTCAGCCTGCCTCAGCCTCAGCAGCCTCAGCCTCAGCGTCAGCCTCTCAGCCTCAGCCTGCATCAGCCTCAGCCTCAGCCTCAGCCTGCCTCAGCCTCAGCCTCAGCCTGCCTCAGCCTCAGCCTGCCTCAGCCTCAACTTCAGCCTGCCTCGGCCTCAGCCTGCGTTAGCCTCAGCCTCAGTCTGCCTGAGCCTCAGCCTGCCTCAGCCTCAGCCTCAGCCTGCCTCGGCGTGCCTGAGCCTCAGCCTCAGCTTGCCTCGGCCTCAGCTTGCCTCGGCCTCAGCCTGCCTCAGCTCGGGCATTCAAAATATGGCACAGGACTTGTGTTCTGGGAACACGAAAATCACGAAGTGGCCCACAGTTGGCTCCGGGCAATCAATAGATGCTACAGGAATGGTGTTCCGGGAACACGAAGAACACGAAGTGGCCTACAGTTGGCTCCGGGCATTCAGAATGTAACCTGGGAATGGTGTTCTGGGAACACGAAGAACACGAAGTGGCCTACAGTTGGCCCCGGGCATTCAAAATGTAACCTGGGAACGGTGTTCTGGGAACACGAAGAACACGAAGTGGCCTACAGTTGGCTCCGGGCATTCAAAATGTGGCCTGGGAATGGTGTTCTGGGAGCACGAAGAACACGAAGTGGCCTACAGTTGGCTCCGGGCATTCAAAATGTGGCCTGGGAAGTTCTGGGAACACGAAGAACACGAAATGGCCTACAGTTGGCTCCGGGCATTCAAAATGTAGCCTGGGAATGGTGTTCTGGGAATGGATTCCTAAGGATTCCTAACAAATCATAAGGATTCCTAAAGATTTCTGTTGTCCGGATCTGTCCGGATCCCGCCCAGACCCCCCTGGGGCGTCAAGATGCTTTCTTTTGATCCCACTAGAAACCTATCAGCAAAAGCTGTTAAGTAAAAATGGAATGATCGCCTTGAGAAAGAGAGAACGAGAGAGACAAAGAGATAATGCAAATAGAGAGATAGAAAGAGAGAGAGAGAGAGAGAGAACGAGAGAGAGTGGGAGTGGGAGGGAGAGAGTGAGAGACAGACAGACAGAGAGAGAGAGAGGCAGAGAGGGAGTGAGAGAGCTAGAGAGACAGAGAGAGGTAGACTTCTGTGCCGTGCACTCTGAGGTTCGCAGGTGCTGCGGCTGCACACTTGCAGCACACAGCACGCGCGCTGGCTCCAACCAGCCAGGCCGAGCCAACCGAGCCCCTCACAGCCAGACAGGCCAGACCAACTGGCCAAAGGCCAGACCAGATCCCCTGGCAAGGAGCCGGCAAGGCCGAGCGACCACAGCACCGAGAGGCATCGAGCCTCAGGAGGCCCGGACGCGGCACGTCGGGCAGCTCAGGGAGCGCACACCTCTGCACACGTCGCGCTCAGAACGCCTGGATCAAACAGTGCTGACGTCCAGTTTTTGTAGAGGCCTCCCGGATTGGGTCCGCGTAGATGGGGTCGGAGGGCTTCACCGCATCACCGATGCATCGAGAACGTCGGCGATTCATCGGCGACGTCGGCGCGAGGAAAATCAGGCTCCAAATCGAGCCGCATCGCCGATGCATCGGCGATGCGGCTCGATCCTCCGATCCCATCTGCTCCGACCCCATCTGGGAGGCCTACACGTCGGCTCCGCCACCTAGCGCCGAGCTTCCGCCGGTGGGCCTGCCGCAATGTTGCTCCCTCGGGCCTCCGCCAGCCTTCCGTTGACTTCCGCCGAGGGCGAGAGACGCGCCGACAACAAGGCCAGAGTGCAGGAGCAGCGTCTGACAGTGAAACCAAATCGGAGCGGAGCGGGAGCGTCCATCGCAATTAGAAGTCTGATAAACAGGAGCGAAAACTAAACGCAAACACGAATAGACGCTGATCTCCACGAAAAGATGCGAAAACTGCGGAGACGGACGGAAAGAAAACCATCAGGGAAACACAGAAAAATATGGGAATTCTTAGTTTCTGCATCGATTGTGTGTGTGTGTGTGTCTGTCTGTCTGTCTGTCTGTCTGTCTGTCTGTCTGTCTGTCTGTCTCTGTCTGTCTCTGTCTGTCTCTGTCTGTCTCTGTCTGTCTCTGTCTGTCTCTGTCTGTCTCTGTCTGTCTCTGTCTGTCTCTGTCTGTCTCTGTCTGTCTCTGTCTGTCTCTGTCTCTGTCTGTCTCTGTCTGTCTCTGTCTGTCTCTGTCTGTCTCTGTCTGTCTCTGTCTGTCTCTGTCTGTCTCTGTCTGTCTGTCTGTCTGTCTGTCTGTCTGTCTGTCTGTCTGTCTGTCTGTCTGTCTGTCAGTGTGTCTGTCAGTGTGCGTGCGTGCGTGCGTGCGTGCGTGCGTGCGTGCGTGTGTGTGTGTGTGTGTGTGCCCCTGGGCCCCCGTAGGTAAGCAGACGGGGCGGGCCACCGGCTTCGGGAGGAGGGCGGCGCATTGGGCCGCCCGCTGAGCGGACGATCGCTCTGGGCGAGAGGCGCCTTCAGCGCCCAATCGTGGGCAAGCAGGCCAGGAGAGGGGGGGCGCAGGAAAGGGAAAGGACGACGCCGACGAGAAGGGGCGGAAGGCTCCTCCTCCCCTTCTCGCCGGAGGAGGAGGAGGAGGAGGAGGAGGAGGAGGAGGTGGAGGCGGAGGCGGAGGGAGGGGGGGAGGAGGACTCCTCCTTCTCCACTTCGAGTCTCGTCGTCTATCCCCCCCTCCTCTCCTCCTGGAGTAGAGGAGGAGAGACAGAATGAGGACAGGAAGCAGGACTAGGAGGAGGACGACCTCCTACGATGCCTCTCCCTGTCCCTGGCATCTGTTCGCGAGTGAGGTCAGCCGAATCAGGGGTGGCTAGGTTGCTCTGGAGCGAATGGGGGTGACGCCAGACAGGTGAACAGCGAGCAGCGAACGTCAGACCGAAGGCCGACGTAGAAGCATTAGGACGCATCGAGATCCTGACGAATCGGATTGAGTTGAAAAACGACAGCGCGGCAGCGACATCTAGCTTGTTCCAGCGAGTCAGGGAGATGGGCTGGATCGTGATTTTGCCGTCCGCGGTCAGCGCTGGTAGTTTGCGCCAGCAGCAGTCGCCCTGGACTTCCACCTACCCACCCACCCCAGGGGACGTAAGAAGGTGGGTTCGGAGAAATTGCTTTTCAACGACCCATGGAAGAATGAAATGTAAGCATCCAGCTGGAACTCATTCTCCAACCCCACCTTGGGAGAATCTCCCACCAAACCATGCATGCCCCTGAAACTCTCGCGTTCCCTCCCGCGCCTGCTTCCCCTGCCCTCCTGGCACAAAGACCCTGCGCTGGCGGCCGGCGGCTTATGCAGCCAGCGCGCCTGGCGGAGCGCGCTCCCTGCGCCGGCGCTGCGAGACGCGGCCTCAGGACACTGGTATGGGCGGGCGCTCCAAGTTCTTGTGGCCCGCTGGGGGCCACTCCTCGCCATCGTTCGGCGGTGCGAAATTAACCACGATACGCCTCTTGCCGACCTTGATGCCGCCGGGCGCCTCCGCTTTCCTGACGGCCTTCTCAGCCTCCTCCAGGCTGGACATCTCCGCGAAAACGGAGCCGTACCAGAACCCTGTACTTCTATCCGGTATCCATCTCAGCACTCTGACCGTACCCTCGAGTATCTCGGCCAATTTAGTAGCGTCCATGACCAGGGGCAACTTGCCAACAAAGATCCGCTTCGATGGATCCTTGCCGGCGTGCTTGAGGCGTTTGTTGACATTCCGCTGCTCGGTCGGATCGACCTTGCGCTTCTGGGTGGCATTCTCACGATTGATGAACTTGGGGTGGTTCATGTTGCGCAGCCTGAACTTGTCCCCAGACTCGCACAGGGGGCACTTCATCAGCTTGGGGTCTGCCTCCTGGCAATCAGTGCAGACAATGACCGGTATCTTGCACTCCTCAACACAGCAAGTCTTCGCGCCCCGGTAGATTGCCCACGGCTTCTTGCACACGCAGCAGTAGCTCTCGATCTCCTTCTCCAGCTCTTCCTCGGTCTTCCTCTCGGGTACCTGCTCCAGCCGTCGGTCGAAGAGGTAGTTGCGGCCTTTCCAGAAGCCCCCCGTGGGAAAGGTCTTCATGTAGCGCTCAATGCCCCCGCGGCAGTGATAGATACCCTGGGTAGAGAAGCTGCCCGATTCGTCTGCCTTCTCTATCTGGTCCATGAGGGCTGACGCCCTCTCGCACCGGATGCCCCCAGTGCAATACATCATAACTTTTTTCCCTGCCATCTTTTGCTTGGCCTCCTCGCTCTGAAACCACTTGGGGAACTCGAAGCTGTGCCGCACAGGCGGGATTATCAACTCTGCCCCAGACTTGGGAGGCTGAAAGTGGCCGATCGCGGACTCGTACACGTTCCGAACATCGATGATCACCGCGTCGGGATCAGTCATCATCTTGTGGTACTCGTCGGCGTTCAGATTCGTGGCAGCGTTCCTCTTCAGCGAGGGCGCATAAGAGCCCTCCAGGCCGTAAGCAACCAGCTCGTCCACCTTTCTGATAGTGAGCGCCTTGAACTTCTTCTTGGCATCAAGGCCATCCGTGAACTTAAAGTCACACTCCAAGAAGAGCGCGTTCCAGTCGCGCAGTCCCTGGCAGAAAGCGCGAAGCCCCTCGGCGGGCCCCGTGCACGTGCAGTTCAGGCCCTCCATAGCGCAGCGCCCTCGGCCTGTCACGCCGTGCTGGCGCCCCAGCTCCTGCACGAATCTCAGCGCCGACCTGTGCTGCACAGGAGTCCAGGGAGGCTCCACGTACTGATCCGCCGTCGTGCCTGCGGCACGCTGAAGCGTAAGGAGGGCCCCAAAACGGCCCCCAAGAGGCCTCAAAACTGCCTCCAAGAGGCCCCGAGAGGCCTCCCACGAGATCCCAACGAACATCCAATGGGCTTCATACCCACAACCCAGGCACGGTGGCGGGACTTGCCGCAGGCAGCAGGATCCGCCGCCCCCTGCTTGCAGGGGTGCACGGCGTGCTGGATGTTTCAGGTTTTGGTTTTGGTTCTTTTCCCAAAAGAACTCCCCAATGGGCTCCGGCAGAACCCGCCGGCCACCCGGAAGGGTGCTCAACGACCGGAAACAATCCTCCAAAAACGGCCGTTTCGCTCGGGACATCCTCACAACATCGCGAAGATGGCCCAAGATGGCCTCCAAGTCCGCCCGAGATGGTCCAAGACGGCCTCCAAAACGGCCCAAGAGAGTCCAAGACGGCCCAAGACGGCCCAAGAGGCCCCCCAGAGGCCTCCCAGACGGCCCAAGAGGCCTCCAAGAGGTCCTCTTTTGGCATTTGCGCCTTTTCGGCTCTCCGACGGCTCAAGACGGCCCAAGAAGCCCCCAAGATCGCCCAAGAGGCCCCCAAGAGAGCCCCCTGATGGCCCAAGTGGCCTCCAAGATGGCCCCTAGAGGGCCCCAAGACGGCCCAAGAGGCCTCCAACACGCCCAAGATGGCCTCCAAGACGCCCAAGATGGCCTCCAAGACGGCCCTGGAGCGCCCCAAGAGGGTCCCCCGTTGGCCCAGAAAGGCCCCCAAAACGGCTCCCGACGGCGTCAGACGTGCCAGGAACCCACCAAGATGGCCGAAGTTGGCTCGAAGCTGGCCCAAAAGGGCCCAAGAGGCCCCCAAGAGGGCCTCCAGGAAGGCCAAAAGATGCCAAAATCACTGATTTTCCCAAGGTTTTTGATGGATTTGGGCATTTCCCTTTTTTCGGCCTTCCGACGGCCCGAGACGGCCCAAGAGCCCCCAAAGATCGCCGAAAGATCGCCCAAGAGGCCTCCAAGACGGCGACGATGACCATCAAGACGCCCACGTGTTCCCCGAAGGCTTTCCAAACCGATTCGGGGAACACATGGTCCGATGGCTTGGCAGGTCTGGCCTCAACGTTCGGCCACATAGGCGCTTCCACAAAGGCAGGGGGCGGCGGTGATTCGCCGTAGGCGTCTTCGATAGAACAGCACCAGCGAGACAGCATCTGGCGCAAGCCCCGGGGGCACTGGCGGAATCGGCTGGTGTATGATCGGCTTGGCGTTCTCGAGAACAGCGTCCCGAAGGAGAGAACCGTCATCCTTGATCTTCTTCGCCTTGTGCTCCTTTTTTGCCACCTTGTTGTCCGCAAACTCGCTCATCCGAAGCTCGCACAGGCACACTTCACCCGTGCAACTCCTCCATGCACAGCGCACGCGTGCAGTGGACCTTGAGCCCAAACCCGCCCAGACGGAGAGGTGGACCAGATCCTGTAATCAAAATGAGGCTGGGCAGGGTACTCAAAGCGAAATGGGTGGTGAGAGCAGCATGCTGGCACCATCGCCTACAAGAGCCCAGGCAATCCCCACATTCTTGATAGGTGCCAATGGCCCCCTGCTCAATTCAACCTCCATCCGATCACCTACGAGTACTACTTGGTTGTATAATGTTGGCATGTTCTCGCCTCGGCCTCCTCCACCCGATCATCCCGAGGCCTTCCGCCTGATCACCGCGATCTCGTTCTGGTCACTGTGCCTGTAAATCCCTCTAGCCGTCTGGGCGTAGATGCTCTAGCGAGGTTTTGCTTTCCTCTTCCACAACCCCCTTCTTTACCTTCGGGGAAGGGTTTACTATTGCCCCCCATTGATGAACAAGCTCTCCTCCACCCGACGGGCAGCCAATCCGAACCCATGAGGGCAACTATGACAACACCGCCCCACCATCCCTGTCAAAAGATAAACTTTGCACCAAAGTCTGGATCGTGCGTGGACGCCCCACGATCACTTTGCATTGGTTTTTGGCAGGGGCGGCGGGGGGCAGCATATCGCCTGCTGTGTGCAGTACAAACACCCCCCAGCCATCCCTTGCAACAAAGAATTCGACATGCACTTTGTCCCACAATCTGGATCATGCGCGGACACGTCGCGTTCACATTGCGTATGTTTTTTACAAGGATGGCGACGGTGCCGGCATATTGCCTCCTATGTGTGGGCCCACCATCCCTTTGAAAAGGAGCAAAAACAGATCCTGGCGAAGTACCCCCAAACATATGCAGGTGCTATCGCTACAAGTCAGGCGGGCGAAAAAGAGACAACGCCCTTTGGCGCCACGAAAAGTGTGAGCAGTGTGCCGGCATGTGCGCGGTGGCGCCATGCGAAGCCTGCCATTGGGGCCTTCGGTGGAGCTCCCTGCGGGGCTACGAAACGTGTGAGGGGTGTGCGGACTTGGGTGAGGTGGCGTCATGCGAACCCTACCATTGGGGCCACTGGCGGAGCTCCCTACAAGGCCACGAAGCGTGCGCGCACTGGCTCAATGCGAACCATGCCGCTGGGGCCTGCGATGGAGCCCCCTGTGGGGCCTCAACGGTGTGAGGGGTGCGCCGAAATGGGCGCGGTAGCGCCATGCGAACCATGCCACTGGGGCCTTCGGTGGAGCTTCCTGTGGGGCCACGAAACGTGCAAGGAATGTGCCGACATGAGGACGCAAAACGTGTGAGAGGTGTGCCGAAACAGGGACACGCGGAGGGCAGACGCAAGGCTGGGAGGAGGGGCAGCAGGAGGAGGTGAGACCCAGGAGCGCTGTCTTATCAAAACGGAAATCCACCACAAGAGGATGGTTGCGAAGAACTATCCAGGCGTAGGATCCAACCGTTCGCATGTGCGAGTACCGCAAGTGTATGCCCCGCCTTCAATGGAGCTCCCTATGGGACCACGAAACGTGTGGAGGGCCGTGCGAACCCTGCCACCGGGGCTGTCGGTGGAGTTCCCTATGTGGCCACGAAACGCGTGACGGGTGCCCCAAAATGGGCGCGGTGGCGCCATGCGAAATCTGCCACTGGGGCCTTCGGTGGAGTTCCCTAGGGGCCACGAAACGTGTGAGGGGTGTGCCGAAGCGGGCGCGGTGGCGCCATGCGAACCTTTGCCACTGAGGCATTCGGTCGAGCTCCGTATGGGGCCACGAAGCGCGTGACAGGTGCGCCAAAATCGGTGCGGTGGCGCTAAGCGAAGCCTGCCACTGGGGCCTTTTGGTGGAGCGCCTCATTGTGCCACGAAGCGTGTGAGGGGTGTGCCAAAAATGATGCGGTGGCGCCCTGCGAACCCTGCCAATGGGGCCCTCGGTGGAGCTCCATATGGGGCAACGAAACGTGTGATGTGCCGACATGGATGCGGTCCGGTGGCGCCATGCAAACCCTTGCCACTGGGGCCTTCGGTCGAGCTCCGTATGGAGCCACGAAACGCGTGAGGGGTACGCCAAAATCGGTGCGGTGGCGCCAAACGAAACCTGCCACTGGGGCCTCCGGTGGAGCTCCTTATGGGGCCACGACACGTGCGAGGGGTGCGCCGACATCGGTGCGGTGGAGCCATGCGAACCCTGCCATTAGGGCCTTCGGTGGAGCTCCCTATGGGGCCGGGGTGTGCCGAAACAGAAACATGCGGAGGGCAAGGGAAGGAGGATGAGGAGGCGGGGGAGGAGGGCCATCGGAAGGAGGACTGCGGGGCGCTGTGTTTTCAAAACGATGACCTAACAGCACAGGTTGGTTGAGACAAATTCAGTTACGTGCTGGCGCGTGTGCACTAAACAGAGGAGAAGAGGGAGAAGGGGGAAGGAGACGAAAACGGGAAAAGGACAAGGGTGAAGCGTTTGTGGCAAGGCGGTCACGCGCGAATCCTCCCACGCGCGAGTCCCGCTGGGTTTCGCGCGAGCTGGGCGCGGCAGCACCGAAGCTGCGCGCCGTTCTGGCACGCTCGCTGGCCTTCGCCAGTGGGCTAGAGGGTGACTCCAAGGAGCAACGCGGGGTGGGTGGGCAACCCTGCTTGGCTCGAGCCTCACGGCTCGGGGGCCAAAATGGGGAAATGAAAAGCCCCCACCCCCGCCGCACATAACCAGCAATCTACAACCGAATCAGGCTATACAAGTTACGCGCTGGCACGCGCGCGCTGAGCAGATGATGAGAGGGAGGAGAGGGAAGGAGACGAAGTCGGGAGAAGGATAAGGATGAAGTCTGTGTGGCAAGGCGGCCGCGCGCCAATCCTCCCACGCGCGAGACCCTGCTGGGCTTCGCGCGAGCCGGACGCGGCAGCACCGAAGCTGCGCGCCGCCCTGGCGCGCTCGCTGTCCCATCGGCCACCTCCACACAAACACCAGCAGCGCAGCCGCCGCGACACTGCGGCCACTTGCCGCCTGCGACATGAGACCCCTCTGGGGCGAACGCCTGGCCGCTTCGGCGGGAGGCCTGCCGACGCGCGGCAGCGCGCCAGGCTGCCGCGCGCGAAGAGAACTGCAGAGCACCCAAGGCAAGAAGTCAGGGAATGGGGCAGCGCCGGCGCCTGAAAAAGACGCGCCCGGGGCGCTCGGGCGCGGCTGCGCTCCGCGCTGCGCCGTCCGAGCTTGGCCCAGAAAGGCTAGAGCCCCAGAAGGGGAAGCGGGAGAGAGCAGGCAGAGGCAGGAGCAAGGACAGGAGAAGACGGGCCCCCGCATTCCTGGGGTCAGGGAGAGCCTAGCGTTTGACCAAACAACTAAGCCATGCCTAACAGCAGCAACGCACTGCCGAAAAGGCTCCACGAATCTATGCCGAGGGAGGTCGAGGAGGGAAAGGATGGTGACTCGGATGATGATGTTGGCGCTGCGTGTGCGCACGCTCCACACCTACCGCCACGCGTCAGCGGGCTCTGCCGCCACCTCTTGGGCGCGCCTGGCAGCGGTCGCTGCCGGCGCACCCCTTGCGTGGTCCGGGGCGCAGGGCGGCCGGCACGCCGGGCCGCCGGCGCTCCCGGGTTCTTCGCGCGCCGGCGCCTAACGCGGCGCCAGCGCGGGGCGCGGCCAGGCGGCGTGCACTGCGCGCGCCGCCGGCTGCGCCCAAGCCTGCACCGCCGCCCCCATCGCGACGGCACTGCAGCTGCGAATTCAGCGCCAAGCTGGCCGTGGGGAAGCCCACGGGCCCGGCCACTCAGGGGCCCCAACGCGGCTCCAGTTGCCCGCGGGCGCCCGGCCGCCACCGCCCCAGCGCCCCGCAGCCCGCAAGCGCACCGCTGCCCGCGGGCGCCTGAAACGCCACGCCCGGCGTCGTGCGCCGGCGCGGCTCCGCGCGCCAGGCCGAGGCCGGCGGCGGAGGCACCTCTCCACCTCACTCGCTCGCCACGCCTCTGGCCGGCTCCACTGTTCAGCCGAGGTGCGGCTTGGCGGCCACCTCTCGCGTGACCTCGCCCCCGCGCTAGCCCTGGTTCTTGCGGAGGTAGCGGGTGCCGTTGTAGTGCACCGGCCCCTGGACACCCGCGTCGCAGTAGATCACCTTGGGCTTCCTGGGCGTCCTCCGGTTGTCCTCCATCACCTCCCTCGGCGCCCCGCGCGAGCCCTGGGGGCGGCGGTCCTGCCTCGGACTGCGCCAGTAGTGCCAGGCCATCGCCAACGCCGTGGCCAGCACCACCAGTGAGACGATGAGCTTCACCATGACCTCCAGGGGGATCGCGATGGCGACGTCCTCCCCGTCCGCCGCCAGGCGCACGCTGACGCGCTTCCTGTCACAGGCACTGTCCTCCTCCACCACCGCCAGCTCCTGGCCGGTCGCCGTCGCCTGCCCCAGCGTGGCCGCTGCCGCCGTTGCGGCCCCGAGAGCCGACAAGCCCCTGGGGGGAGCTCGCCCGGCGCTGTCGCCGGCGGCCCCCTCCCGAGGCTTCGCTGCCGGCGTCGTCAGCTCCGAGTGGTCGTTGGCCATGCGCCTGGCTACGTCGCGCTGCGGCTCGTGCGACTCCCAGAGGTAGGCGTGGAACGAGTACGACGCACATCTCCCGCACCTCTGGACCTTGGAGAGGTCGTCCGTGACGTAGTACATCGCCGTGGCCCCGCCGATCACCAGGGAATGGGAGCCGATCTCCTCTCGCCTGAGGCCTGCCGCCAGGCCCGCCATGCTTAACAGGGGCGCCCGAGGCCCACCAGAAGAGGGGCAGCCGCGCCTCCGTGCCGCGGTCGAAGCGCTGCGGGTGCTGCGCCTGCATGGCCGCTAAGGCCTCGACGGGGCACAGCGCCGAGTGGGTGGCGTACTGGTTGCGCACCGTCCCCACATTGATCTGGTCCATCTTCGAGCCCTTGATGTGCAGGACGCACTGGTCGGCTCGGGCGAAATGGCCGGTGCGCCCCCCCTCGAGCCTCGCCTCGATGTCCTCGCCGTGGGCCGCCCTGTCGACGGACCAGGACCTGTCCGTCACCAGGTACTCCGACGCCCTCATGAGGAAGAAGAAGGCGAGGAGGATCGCGGCGCACAGCGTGGCGGCGTCGGCCTGGGACAACCCCGCATCTGCATGGATGTGCTGCTTAAGACCTGCCAGCGCGAGGAAGTGCTTCACCTCCTCGCGCTTCACAGGGGCGCCCGAAGCCCACTGGACGAGGGGCAGCCGCGCCTCCGCGCCGTGGTCGAAGCGCTGCGGGTGCTGTGCCTGCATGGCCGCAAGGGCCTCGATCGGGC